ACTTCCTCTTCGGATCGAAGGGAGTAGATTCAAAAGCATCCACTACATTAGGACTTGAGGTAGGAGGAGTTGAAGCCGCAGGAGCAGGGGAGCTAGGAGTACCCTTCAGGTGTGCCTTCACCATCTCGGCAAAGTGGATTTCAGCTTCCAAAGCCTCTGGCCCTTCATCGTATGGGAAGTGCACCCCCACCTGCTTGTCAAAAGCGTCCGGATCCATCGTCTTAGGGCCTGAGCCCTGATTATAGCCAGACCGGAACGCTTTAGCACTAGCCAGGTGCGCCAGACAGGAGTAGCGCCTCTGCATTTGCTTCCCCGCCTTGAAGCAAGTAGTAAGAGCCTCGGTCAGGCGTTGAACCTCGGCCTGAAGAGAATCCACCTTAGCCTCAGAGGCTGACAACTGCCTCTTATACGCATCCTTGGCTTCAGAAGCTATCTTCAGATTGGTAGAGGCAGTAGTGGCTCTCTTCTCTGCATTGTCAAGATCCTTTTCCAACTTCTTGATGGAGAGGGATTGAGCTTTAGCAGTGGCGCAGAGGGCCATGGTGTGGTATAGACTCTGTTTAACAGGGAAGCAAATATAAGCATAAATAGAAACACAAGCAAGCAAGAGTAACATAATTCTGAAGGAGCAATGTGAACCTTTATGGCCCGGACTGGGGCAGAGGGGAGTAGTTGCTCCAACCCCATTTGGCTGATGGCTTCCTCGTCCTTTGGGAGCCACATTCCTCGAGCCACCGCCAGTGCAGCTGAAGGGTCTGTAATCACAGAATCCCCTGAGTGTAGGACTGACCTATCAGCCCTGGTGAAGGAAGGAGTCCAAGGAGTCCCAGTCTCAGCTAGAACAAAGGCCCTGACTTTATCTTCAGGTTCGGCATCTCCAGCCTTTTTTCCTCTGCTTTTAGAAGGGACCTTGCCCTTGCCAGAGGATGAGGGGTTGAAGCGAGATTTCTTCATTGGTGGTTCCTCAACCTCCACCTCATCCTCAGTTGATCTAATAACGACCAAGGGTTGGGCATCTTCGGCTTTCTTTTTTAAAGCCTCAGCCCTTCGTATCTCCTCCTCAGTCATGGGAAAACTGTCAAAGGATGGTAGAGATAGATCCATGAGGTCTGCAGCAACGGCACTGGAGGCAATGTCCTTGAGGTTTGAAGAAGTTAGCAGGTCCTCGATAGGCGAGGGATCACTCCAGACTCGTTCCTCAAGAAAAGAAAGTCTGTTCCTTGCTGCGGAGGATGGGAATGTAGCTGAAAAAACACCAAGAAACTCATAAATACGTCGAAACATTAAGACTTGGCAAGGAAAACAGCCAGAACACTTGGTATGAAGGGAGGTTAAATATTCTATACCTAATTTCCCGAACTTGCGCGGGATGGGAAGCATAGTTGATTGGGACACGAACCATTTCCCTTTAACTATAACCATCCTTTCTTTCCATTTCTTTTCGGATGAAGGAAGGTTCGTGCATATCCTCTGATGAAGGGGAGAAGTAAAAAAGAAGCGACCAGGCTCGGTCCCATGCTTAGATATATTGTAAGTAAGCAAAAGATCGGCAAGGGTCAAATCCAGAGCCTCTAATTTCCGGCGCACCAACAGTGCCGAAAGGATGCGAAAGAAATTAGGGTTTACCTGAAGGGGGGCAAGACCCAGCTTATTAAACACTAAATGGTAGAAGGGATGAAGAGGGAATCGGAGGGCGTTAAGATGCCCCACCGAAAGAAGCAACTCATCCTCCTCAATTCCCTCGCCGGAGGTAAAATCGGCACCCTCGGGATATTCTGCAATTTCTACTCCCTCAGGAATATCAAATTCTTCCATTACCGAAGCAATAGAGAACTTGATGCGGCGAGTAGAGATGATTGCTTTCTTCTCGTCATGAGTAAGAACATAATCAGAGCCTGAGGTAGATGTCTCGGTTGGAAGAGGGGAAGTACCTAATGGATTTGACAAAGGGCGATCTGTAGAAACCCTAGGAGGGGGAGCCCTAGTGCGAACGGGGGAAGATGAAGGTGTGGATTCGGAATCCCCAAGGTCTATACGTTCGGAATAGATGAAGTACTCATAAGGAAAGATTGAAGAGAAAGATGCGAGACTAACCTGACAAAGCGATGGAATGAAGAACGCAGAAGTGCAGCAAGGGCAAATGTAACTCTTGCAAAATCTTGTACGTCGGAGTAATAATGAAAGACCTCGAACCGTTTCTGAAGCAAAGTAAAAAACCGGTTTCAATTCCCTCTTTAATAGGAGCCGTCGCTCAATTAAAAACGAAATTTGGGGCAAAGTGTGGAGGGAAAAAAACTCCCTCCAATAAAAAGCGCACACGTCACCACTACCCATGTCTACATTCCAAGGACATATAAGGCCCATCATGCTCAAGCCCAAGTTGAGGGTATTTACAGCCCAAGACCATTGTTATTTGTCCTCCAACTTCCATCAAGGCCGAATCAAGAAGTCATCAGCCCAGCTTATGAGTATTTAACATCCGGCCTGTTACTCAAGCCCAGCCGGATCAAAATATATTCAGCCCAAGAATGCACAAGTCCTACCATTTGAAGGATTTACTGTAGAAGGAAAATTCTGATAGGAAGTTCTGTACAAGGCAAGTTCTATGTATGGAAAATTCGACAATGGAAAGAACTCTATTAGAAAAGAATGGTTATATAGAAAGAATTGGAGGGCAAGTAATGCGAGTCCTACCATAATTTTGCAATCTTTTGTGTATAAATAGAGGATAAGACCTCCAATAAAGGATCAAGCAATTTACGCTTCTCTATACACTGTTCTTATTTATTTTTATTGTTTTTTGAGTGAGTTGTTTTATTTTTCTCAATCATTATTGGTTGAGCGAAATTTTGCACCTACAATCTCAAACAGAGAACAAATCAAGCTCATAACCTTTTTGAAAAATAAGAATGGTACACAAAAATAAAAAATAAATAAAATGCAACAATTTTAAGAATGCTCTAAAAAATAATTAAATTTAAAGAGGAAAAACTAAATAGAAAAAGTGTCCAGCACAAATTGTCAAGTATACATGGTTTAGCTCATGCTATATGTGAAAAAGCTACTGGCATAAGCTAAACTACCAAGAAGTCAAAACTGTAAAAATTAAATTAAGGCAGATATTGCTATCACAAATGTCTACCATATAACCAATATTTCTGGTTTGAGTGTTGTTAACGAAGAACATAGGTACTGGGATTGACGCCATGGGAGGAGGGAAAGAATGAGTGATGAGAACGAGGAAGTTTTATATAATATAATAATTGGGATTTGAATGGTATAATTTTTTTGTATGTTGATTTATGGAGGCTATTTCTGGTATTGTTAAAATACCATTTTCTTCACTATGCTTTCTCCCTTATTTTCTCAAAATGGGAGAGAAACCAAATGAGGGATTGGTATCCCTCCCTATCTCTCTCTATCCTCTCTTTTCTCTTCACTTAACCCACCTAAATACACTCCCATCATATCCTTTATTTTATTTTCTCTCTCTATCCCTCCAAATCAACCCTACCAAACACACCCTTAGTGAAAGGAAGTTCCTCCAAGTAAAACAGAAGTGGATTATTATCTTTTTAAAATGAAATTTTGGAGGGCATTTTAGACATATAATTATTTTGAATGTCTTTGTAATTATTTGACTTAATTAAATTAAATTTAAAAAAAAAATTGTAAGATAGATCACTTTATTATTTTGGATTCCTAACTTGGTTTAAGTGTAATTTTTATTATATAATATAATTGCTTGAATTTGGGAAAGAAAAAAAAATAAAAAAATTCTGATTAAACTCCTTTGATCTCTTAGAATGGATCGATCCAAGAAAATTTATTGTCAAACATATACAAGTATTTAATCTTATAGCGGTTAAGACACTACATCAACAATTTATAATATTGTTTGACTAAAAATAGTACTCCCTCCGTTCCATATTAGTTGTCCAATTCAAAAATTTTGACTAGCTGCCACTTTTTATTTTTGAATCATTTGAGATCATTTTTTGTCATATTCTTTTTAGGATAATACTTAACTACTCACGGATGAGTAGGGTAAAACTACTCACCCCTTTGTGGTCCAATAACAAAATAACACATCATATTTAGTAATAAAATAATTCACACTTAAAAACACTATATATATTTATTCGATAATTGATCCGAGAAAGTAAAGAAATGTGTGAATTATTTTATTATTAAAGGTGATGTGTTATTTTGTTATTAAACCACATAGGAGTGAATAGCTTCACCCTACTCACCGGTGAGTAGCTAAGCATTATCCTTCTTTCTATATACTTATATACTACCTATATTCCATATTAGATGTTTACTTCAATAATTTTTCTTTTTTTTCTTTTTTTAATTCATTTCTCTTTTTTGAATTCATTACTTTAGGCTTCTCTTTCTAAGTACATCAAATATTTCAATATATAACATAGGAGTATTAATTTTGTAAAAAAATGGACTAACTTTTTTTTTAGAAGAGTTCATTAACCACTGCTTCAAGCTTAGGTGTCAAGAAGGGTTTGAGCCGCGTAAGCTTGTTTTTGACTATTCAAAAGTTCAAAAGGCCACGTGGTTACTTCGTTTTAAACATTTCTGCATGCCCCCCCCCCCCCCCCCCCCCCCCCCCCACACACACACACACTATTTATCTCGTTACAAGTGTTAACAATTATTAGCCAGGTCTCAGCACTTGCGAGAGTCTACTTGCATGGGACTATTACTGTCTCTTTCCAAAGTTTTCATCTTCAGCAAACATCAGCTCAACAGTCAGCACAAGCTAGCAATCATTACAATTACAATCTAGCTTGAATCAAATAGATCATAACAACTTGACATAAATGATTATAAATAAGAAGAACATGTCGCATGGTTGATCAATAAAATTATCAAAAATTTATATTGAACAGAACCAAACTTATTATATTATATTGATGGAAACTTTATACAAAATACATACGAACTTTTAGTTGAACAAACAGAACACACACAAACATACAACTTTAGCCTGGAATCTCAATAGCCTTCACCACTGGTTTGTTCTCTGCCGCTTTAGGGATAACCACAGTAAGAACACCATTCTCCATGCTAGCCTTGACCTCATCCATCTTTGCATTTTCCGGCATCCTAAAACGGCGGAGGAACTTTCCGACGGTCCTCTCAACGCGGTGCCACATGCCCTTCTTGTTCTTCCCCTCCTCCTCCTCCAGCTCTCTTCTCTTGTCACCGCTGATTTTGAGCACCTGTCCGTCTTCGAGCTCAACCTTCACTTCTGCTTTCTTGAGCCCCGGAAGATCAGCCTTGATTATATGGGCCTCGGGGGTTTCTTTCCAGTCGATTTGTGGTTGGACGAAGCCAGGGGTACTGTCACGATCAGAGGTCGGAGGGTTGGCGAGGGTGCCTGAGAAGCCTTCAAAGGGGTCCCAAGAAATAAGCGACATGATTCACTATTTCTTCACCTGATCAGAATATATTGAGATGACTACACAGAAATTTCTCAGATATTTTGAGGACTTTTAGTTGATGGGAAGTGGATTGTGATAAGTACAATATATAGAGCACATAAGATGTATCTCGTAGTATCATGGCTGCATTGGAGAGAGTGTTCTCCACTATTCCACAAACGTCTTAGTTTCTCCTGTACTTTTTTTTTTTTTTTTTTTTGAAATTTGTCATGTACTTGATAATATATATCATTATTCTATTTATTTTATTTTATTTTATGAAGATAAGTGGGTCGGATTTGGATGGGGGTTAAACAGTATAAATGGAATGAGTATACAGCATTATCCAACAACTTGATCTTTTGAGTAAATGAGTAAGCGCCCACTTGTAATAGCTGGTATCATAGTCAGACCCAATCCGACTCGAGATAGGAAGAGTGTCCCGACTACAACGAGCTCGTTGCGTGGGTTCGAGTGGGCTACTATTTCTAGTAATTAGAGTTGGACTTGAACATGATGTTTTAACTTGAATTTAATTAACTCAAATTTTAACACAATTTTTATATACTTAAAAGTGTTTCTCTCAATTTTTGTGTTTAAATCTTGATTATTTTAATATTGAACTTTTGAGAAATGAAATTCTTCAATATTTCTACAATTTTTAATTTTTTATTCGTAGAAGTAACCAAACTAATCCAAGACCAACTCCATTTGAATATTCAAGCCAATTTTAAAAATTGTTAACACAGTGGGCTTGATTTGGAAAGCTTACGAGGATTGGGTTGCGTTCGACATGGGCTGAAGGTCTTGTAACTTTTGTTTGAGTCGGTATTGATCTCTCAACCCGCCCACCCTGTCCAAATTTAGGGTGGCAAGATTTAGAGTAACAAAATTTGGCATGATGTTTTAACATAATTTAAACTCAATACGAAATTTATAAGATCAGATTGACCTTAATTATGTTATTGACACTAATTTGTTTATTTAATCATGTCATTTTTTGTTCCCAGGGGCATAGCGGTGTTGACAGGTATCTAGGAGGTAAGTTTTTGAAATCTTGCTTTCGAACCGCACTCCTGACTTAAATAGTATGTGTGTTGTAGAGCGATATACGTGTTTTAAAAAAAAATATCCTGTCATTTTTTAATTTGAAAACTCACCGGATTTAAGATATGTTTAATTAATCATGTCCACGGGATAGGTGATGTTCATTCGCTAATTAGAATTGAATATCACAGCTTAATAAATTTCAAACCAAGAAAGAGTCTGTAGGGTTCTTTCTTATTATACAAAATCACAATAATAAAGTAGAGATATCAAACACAAATGTGAGGGACTCAGAAATATCTTGGACAGAATAAACACACAAGCCAATGGGATCTTAGTGAAGGTAAGAATGTTTGCTTGTAAACTGAAGTTTGAATTTGTAATCCTGCATTTAAGGCTTTAATTTATAGTTCAAGGTTGGTGGGTAATATCCCAATAGTTCTAATTTCTCATCCTCTATAACTAGGGTTTTGCTTGTACTCGCAGGTTGCTCCTTTAAGATTTATTAATCTGACATTATGCCAGGGTTCACGGTTCGAGTGTCATATTCTTGAGACTTGATGACCTGCTAAGTTTGTTTCGAACTCGAGAGTAGTATCTTAGAGATTTTTTAATGTCCTAATATGACGTCGGGGTTAGAGATTTTTTGATGTCCTAATATGACGTCAGGGTTTAGGGCTCTAGTAATCTAGTGTCATGTTCTTGAGACACTTGATGACCTAGCTTGGTGCCTAGGTTCATTTCGATATCTTTGATGATCTCGGAGTTATTTTTACTTTTCAATATGCCAAGTAAGCTACCACGTGGCACTAATTGATACCTCAATGGTCTACAAGACAATAAGATTATCATTTTTAGGGATATTTTGTTAATCTTACTAGAAGGATTCATAAAATTTTTCCCCTTCTCAACTTGACTTCTACCATTCATTCTCCTAAAATCAGTCATCAATCAGCTCAACCAGATATTTAGATCCTTTATCTTGCCAGGTCCCGAAATGAAGACAAGTGGAACAAAAATTGCTTGGGGGAAGGTTTGTAAACCTAAGAAGGAAGGTGGTCTTGATATCCCAAATTTGGAGCTCTCAAATAAAGCTGGTATCCTGAGGTACATTTGGGATCTCCAAACAAAAGGAAATGACAGGCTTTGAATCAATTGGTGTAACACTCACCTCATTAAATCAAGGAACTTCTGGACCCTTAAGATCCCACAACCTTGCTCATGAAGTTGGAGGAAAATACTGCTGCTCAAGCACCCTGTAAGCTTTTCATCCAACATAGGATTGGTGATGGCACTGATACATCTTTCTGGTGGTACAACTGGATCTCTGGTGCCCCTCTCAGCACAAGACATCCACTGAATACTCTCACTGATGCTGGATTCAATGACACAATCACAGTAGCCACATTCATTTTAAATTCATCTTGGTCCTTCCCTACAAGCCCCATAAATGCTATTCCAGAGCTACTTTCACTCCCTTCTCCTTGTCCTTCAAGAAGAGATAAGAAACTGTGGTTGGCATCACCAAATGGTTCCTATAGCCTTAAGCACACATCATGGCATCTTGCAGAACACTCCCCTCCAGTCTTTGGTGTGGAAGTCACCCACAATTCCAAGAATGAAATTCAATCTATAGCTAGCAGTTCAATTAAGGCTTCTAACACTTGACTGCAAGTCTATGTCCAAACATGAAAATGTATGTGCACTCTGTCAAAACCACCCAGAATTACACCAACATCTCTTCTTCACATTCAGTTTCACATCCCCAATTTAGCATTTTATCAAACTCAAATGTAAGTTCAATTCTGCAATTACAAATTGGGAGGACCTGATTCTCTCCATAAGCACTCAATGGAAAAAGAAATCAGCCACGAACCTGCTACGCAAAGTTTGTTTCTCCTCTATGGTCTACTACACTTGGGAGGAAAAAAATGAGCGGATCTTCAAGAAGAAAAAATCAATGCAAAGAGCTGTACTTGCCAGGATTACCTCGATAATCACTGCCCCTAAAATTGGGGTTCCTAGAAGATAACAACTCCTCAAGGCGAATCCTCATGGACTGGAACCTGTCGCCAACTCATTGTCGGCCTCCTCCAAGACCGTGGGATTAATTTTATAGTAGAGGATGATGAGGATCAATCATCACCTCTAGCTAGGGCCGCTCATCGGATCGTGAGTTAACAACTGCATTTAACGGCTAATTAACTAATAATCGTAGTTAATGGCTAATTAATTAGCCGTTAATTACAGTTATTAACTTTTCCACATGATTGGATTTTTTATGTTTGGGCCACTTTTGGGCTTTGTTTTCCCTTTTGGGTTATATTTAGCCAAATGGCCCACCTTTGTAATTATTATTTTATTAATGTCAGTTGCTTAAAATTCCAAAAAAAAAAAAAATAAATAAAATGACTTCTTCCAACTTTTTTTTTAACCTTGGCAAACAGACAGATTGCATAAACATCAAAGCCACAAATACATGAGGAGGAGCACACTGAGTACAGAGAGACAAAGACATAAATGTGTGTGTGCAACCCTCCAAATTAGCTCAACCATGGAAACTTGGAGTTTGTACAATATAATAACAGACAATATAAAATGGTATAAAGCTATTGGCACCATCCAGAAGGCATGTGATATCGGTCACCGCATTAAAAACACCAAACCAGACGTAGTAGCCCATCCCAACAGCACTCCAAGAACCAGAACCATCCACCAATCCGTATGAACATGTCTCTGGGAAAGCTGGAGAACAGCATTAACCACCTCGTGCCTCTGGCTATAAACAGGGGGAATCCAAACTGAGGGGATAACCTGGAGCACCATACAGATATCAAATGGGCAACAAATAAACACCAGTAATACACAGCATAATTCATCCTTAGAAAGACATATCATCACCATTAAGAGACCGGGAGGAACCCAACGTAAATCCACCGGTAGGCAAGAAAAGAGAAGCAACAAACCCTCAACAAAATATATAGAAACAGAAATACCGTATGGGAAGCAAACCATCAACTCAGGCAAATCCATAGCCAACGGACCACCAGTGAAAATGAACACATAAAGGGCCTCATCAGGAAAACAAACAATAATACCCCAAAGATGGCTTCATATTGACGCCACTAATTTAGCACGATATAGCGCCAGAGAGATAATTGGTGAAAAAAGATATGGACAGGAGAAATGACGCCATTCAATAGACGTGGAATCAGATGGAGTCAGAACCCAGCACTAAATCCCAAGGATGATGTCACGATCAAAGGCGTATAGAAGATGCCATTTTCTTGCAACCACATAACACATAGCACAGAACGAAAAATAAACAAGACATACCTGACCCAGTGACATGATTACGGAGGTGGCCCGCCACAAGTCGCTATAACATACGTGACCCTGGCCCACAAAGCACCACAATGAGGCTTCGCGGAGACGTTTCGGCAACATTGCTCTTGCCCAAATTGTAGAGACCACCATCGGCCCCCGGAGCTGAACCACCACCCATGGCATGGATGGTGGATGAAGCAACCCACAACCATAGAACACCAGCCACCAAATTCGCAAATGAAAAGCCAACAACAGGGAACGCATGGATCCCCACAGAAATGATCGTCACCAGCCTCCATTACCCATAGCCCCAAGTCTGATATCGGAACACCAAATCCGATATCGGAACAATCCAATGTCAACGACACCCCAAAGGAACAACAAAGAAGACATAGACCATACCACGACCCCCACCCCCATCACTCGAATTAGACACCCCACAAAGTGACATAGCCAAGAGAAGAACAAAACAGAAATTCCCACAGGCATATAATACAGAAAATGTAATGACCCGGTCATTTTCCCTCCTTTCCTTTTTCTCAAATTTTACGGATAAATTTTTTCCGTTTAATTCTTTTTTCTGAGTTCTGTTTCTCGTCACTGGGTGTCGTTTCAAGTGCTAGGAAATAGTTTTTGAGACTCTTTCGTTTGAATTGACAACTTCCTTTAAGGACCGAGTCATTTCCACATTTTCACTTTTTGGACACTACTCACTTTTTGTCTTTTTTCCCGTTTTTCACTTTTTGGCACAATCTCACTTTTCGTGCTCGGAGTTAATTTTTGACTTCACGTACCTTCATTTTAAGTGGTTTCCACGAAATAAGTATCTTTACTTTTGTAGAAAAGTACTCTGATTGCTCTCCGTGTCCATAGGGGCATGGATGCATAATTTCTTCAGAAACATTTTCTTTTCTTGGGGAATTTTTTGTAAATATCTTTTGAAGATATTTTATTTCAGGGGTTTTAAAATAATATTTTTAGAAGACATTTTCTTTCTGTGTCATTTTTGCAGTTATACTTTCTTGGAGGGACTATTGTGCAATTAACCAAAATTATTGCAATATGCCTCATTTTGAGCCTGGATCCTCGTACGGGATTCATTTTCACATTTTGTTGAGTCGTGTACTCTTAAAATTTCCTTCCTGTCATTTTTTCCAGTTTTCAGCGCCAATTAGCGCCGAACTTTTTCGGGGCATATTTTTCTGCTCGGGACTCAGTTTTAGACATCGTTTCTTCCGCTGTTCATTTTTTTTTTCATTTTGGTTCTTTTTCATTCACGGTGTTTTACCGTCTAATGCATTAGATTTAATGCATTACTTGTATCTTAATACTATCTTGACTTGCATAACTTGTTGATTTTAGAAACTTGGCGATATCAATCAAGACTTGACATGGCTAGGACTTGGTTCTAATATAGGGAATAGAGAGCCCCCTACAATAGAGTGCACACTAGGGGAAGGTACCCATGGGTTAGTAGCCCTAAAGTGGTCCCAAGAGTACGGTTCTAATCCGGGCGATATTCGAGTATCCACATTGTTTGATTTAAACCCTTAGATTTCAAGTGTATTCCTTGAAGTTCTAAGAATCTTGTCGTGTTATATGGAATATTCCCATCTTGTTAATTACATAGATATTATGCATTATCCTTGATTTCACGCCTTATCCTTATCGTGTTAGTTGAATTGTTTCAATCTTATTAATTTTCTTAGTTATCTCGTTTCATGTTACTTTATGCTATCGTGAATTAAGAATGATCCTATACATATAACTTGACTTAGATTCAAGGTAGCATGGACCACATATAATTATTTATATTAACATGCAAAATCTTTAAACTCTTAGATTTCAAGTGTTATCTTTTGAAGATCTAAGAACCTTGTTGTGTTATATGGAGTATTTCCTACCTTTTTTAATTGCATAGACATTATGCTTACTTTGTGTATTTAGATCTCATTTAGCATACTTGAAACTGTGCACTTACTTCTTGTATTTAGATTCCAATTAGTATACTCGTGTCTTGTATACTTGCTTTGTGTGTTTCCGATCCAGTTTAGTATACTTATGTTTTGTATACTTGCCTCGTATGTTTTCAATTTCGTTTAGTACACTTGTGCTCAGTATACTTGCATGTTGTGTATTTCATTTCAATCGCTTATGTAACTTAGGATGATCCCTAAGTCTCCCTTTGACATAGACATTAGGTGGCATGAGCCCCTTTAACATGTTTCACCTTAAGTTGATGATATTGTAAAATGCTAGGTCTATACATACTCATTCCCTACAAGTACCACATGATACTCACCCAAGTATAAAGACCTGGTTCGTGATGTTCATCATTCCTTGGATGACTTGTAACTTTTAAATTTCCATTTCATGCAAATGTTAGCATGAAATGTCATTTTTTAGTCTTATATGTCAAAACTTGTATATTTGATTCCATATATGTAACGTGTACATAAGTACACCTTTTACGATGTATTTGACAAGTATGAGATGAGACCGGAGGCCAATGACATGTATCTTGTATCTTATGTAATTTTTAACTTAATGAAATATTATGAAAATATTGAAAAATGTCATTACTTCACCATGTTTGCATCGGGTGTGGGAATTCCATTTTTATTCCTCCATAGGGTCTCATTAATCATGCATGAAGTGTGGCCAAGGGCCAAACGGTAATTTAAAACCATTTTATAATTGTAAGTTTCAAAATTTCCTTTTTCATGTGCATTTTCGCCTTTTTTGGCCGTCGGCGGTCAGATTTTGCATCAGGTCTTCTCGGGAGCCGCGGACCATTCCCGCGTTCTTGAAATCGTTTATTACGCTTCGTGCACATTCGTTTCAACCTAGAAATACATTTAGGGTCAAATGCATACTTGGTGTAAAGTTACAATTTTTTGAGTTTTTGCCCTTTTCTGATCTAGGAGCATTCTAGGTATTTTACATTGTGTTTTTTTGTTTTATTTCACGCGACCGGGTAGAAAACTCGATTTTAGAGTAGGTTTCTTTTTCGTGTTTTTCCAGAAAATGTTGTTAAGAGCCCCGTTTTTGCTCTTTGTTCTGGCACATTTCAGAAAAACCCATGTAGCAACTTTTTGACCCTCTTGACCTATTCTGATCTAGGGGCATTTTGGAAATTTCACAGCATGTTTTTTTTTTTTTTTTTTTTTTTCGTGCTGCCTGGTAGAAAACTCGATTTTAGGAGGGATTTCTTTTTCGTGAAAAATTTGTTTCGGCCTTTGTTTCAAGCCTCAGTTATGGAAAACCTTTTTTTTTTTTTTTTTTTTAACATGTCCGGGTGCTTGTCAGGATGCTCGTGGGGATGCTCGTGGTCGCCCATGGTGTCCCATCTCGACGTCCTGACGTCGATTTTTGTTTTCGCTCGTTCTCCTTCGTCCGGACTCCAAATAAGATGATTTTTTTTTTTTAACTTGACTAATTTTTCGTCGTTTATCCAACGGTGTGCTCGGTTGCACCCAGAGATTCCTGAATACCAGTTTACCCTTTTAGCATTAAGTATTCGTTTTTTTTCGTCTTACCGTTTCTCTTTCATCTGGATTCCGAAACATGCGAGTCTTGAGTCCATCTTGATTAGTGATTCTTGAGTCCATCTTGATTAGTTTTTCGTTATCTTTCCAACGGTGTGCTCAATGGCACCTGAATCCATATTTTCAGAAATGACTATTTTGCCCCTAGGAGGGGCTTAATTGTTATTTTTCCGATCTCTTGCTTCACTTTATTTCTTTGGGTTCCGTGACCTCATGAAAGGTCATCTTAGGGTCTTAGAGGTGTGTTGTGACTTGGGAGACCGTTGTCTAGGTTCTTGTTTCTGCATTTGAATCCGTTATTGGATCAATTTTCGATTAATCACAGGACGCATTGACTTAAAAACCAGGCCCTTCACAAAAATCCTTCAACGGCATGCTGTGCCACCAAATCCGGATCAAAATAGTGACCAACACGACAACAATACGATACCAAGAGTATCCACAACCAGGCGACATAGCATGTCTAAAGCTAGAACACTCACCACCCACCAAAAGACTAAAACACAGAAAACTCGCACCAAACTCGCGCGAATAGCCTACCAGAAAAACTCACAAACGATTCGGGCGACGCACGAAGATCAATAAACGCAATCAAGAACTGGATCAACCGAGCACCACCAAGAACGTCGTATCCCAAAAAATCACCCAGATCACCACGAAAAAAACAACCAATCCAGATCCCTCCAACAACCAGTGACAATCACATGATCACGATCCACAAACCCAATTGGAAACAATCTCAAATTGGCAACCAACGAGACCGTCGAACAGAGGGAAACCAGAGTGACAGAAAGAAAAATGGCAAGGAAAGACGGACCAAACAAGCAAAAGAACTCCGAACAACAAACTCCAACCAGTGGAGAAACTCCTATGAAAGGAGAGGGCTCTTCCAACTTAGTTTGGCTTTCTTTTTTTTGGAGCGGAAAGTGTCGAGGAGATTTTGTGCGGTGGCACAAAATTTTGCATTCCGAACCTCTTTGAGATTTCCACAATTGAGAACAAATTGGGATGATGCAAGGAATTTTTTTTTTCATGTTCCATAATTTTTTACTTCAATATTTAGTTTGTTTATTTCTTTTATTTGGTAATTTATAATTGTTTTATTATTATTTAAAATATGTTAAAATGGTGTATCCGTGTGCGTGTTTTTTTTTTTCATGAATTTTACTTCAATATTTAGTTTATTTCTTATATTCATAATTTGTATTGCTTTAAAGAAGGAACTGTAGCCATGTTCTTGTTCTCACAATTTTTCAATCCAAACCATGACCAAAGATTACAACTAAAAGAAATAATTCAGTTCCCTTTTTCAAGCAATTTACTACTTCTGAACCATTTATCTCCAACTACCTTCCTATAAATTTGATTATTTCTATAGAAATTAATTTGGGAGGTTCACACTTCAAACACCCCATACCTCAATATAAATAAATTCGAAACATAATCCATTCGAGTTTTATGCCAAAAATTTAACCCAAAAAAACTGCATTTTTACTGCTCAAACTTAAACATTTACAAACCAAAACATAGACCCCATGTTTTACTGCAAGTCTGCATATACATTGCAGAATCAGCTACTAAGAAATCCAACAATACACCAACACCCCACCACAAAAACACACACACACACACTAACATGATATGAAAGAGGGATGATTAACGGACAATTCAACCAGAGATCTCAATTGACTTCACATCGGGCTTCTTGACCTCCTCCTTCGGAATCGTCACGGTGAGCACGCCATTATCCATCGCCGCCTTGACCTGATCGATCTTCGCATTCTCCGGCAGCCTAAACCTCCGCATGAACCTCCCGCTGCTGCGCTCCACGCGGTGCCACGTGTCTCCTTTCTCCTCCTGCTCGCGGCTCCTCTCTCCGCTGATCTGCAGGACCCTATCGTCCTCCATCTCCACTTTCACCTCCTCCTTCTTCAGCCCCGGCACGTCCGCCTTGAACACGTGAGCCGTCGGCGTCTCCTTCCAGTCGATGTTCGCCCGAGCTAACGACGATGCTTCGGAGGGGAAGTTTGAGCGAATCTTATCGGAGAGTGGAGGAAATCCCTCGAACGGGTCCCACACATCCAGAGAGAAGGGGTCGAAGACGTTCGATCGGCGGCCGAAAAAGTGAGGAATCAGCGACATTTCGATGCGTTTGGAAAGTCGGAAAATTATAGAAACGATAAGAAACGAGCTTTGATAATCTGTTTAGTATTTGACGGAATTGCTTCTGATGATCTATGAGGTGGAGTGACGAGGGTTTATATAGGAAGTTTGGATGATATTTTGATGGTTCGAGAGAGTTCTAGTCAAGTAGTCAGGCACTTTCACGAATGTTCTGGACTCACGCGCTCTATATGACGGTTATATTCCCATTTCATTTAATTGTCAAAGAGGACAACATCTTCTAGAATTTATTTAATTGACGTCCCTTAGTTTCTAGAATTTATTTAATTGAAGTCCCTTAGTTTCTAGAGTAATTGACAACTAACCTAACGTTTCAATTTTGCCATCATTCCTTTCCCCTAGTCTCATGGTGGCACTTGCAATCAAAGCTTAGTACAATTTTTTAATTAACCAATACTCTGTGAACTCTTATCCTGTAAACTCAGACATTCTAATTTCTAAGCTTGATTTGTATGAGTACCAAAAAGTATTTGAATTTAAATGATTGAAAATAAAAAATGAATTAACAAACATTAAAGTACAGGTGCAGATGCCTCGATAGTCCAGTGGTTAGTACCTTGGGTAGATTTTGGGAGTGCCAGGCTTCGACTCTTTGCACTCACTAATCTAACTTTTAACCCTTCTTGCCCTGTAAAAAAAATAATAATAATAATAAAAAAACATTAAAGTGCAAGCTTTGAAGGTTTCATGAATAATTATTTGGGTAAATTACCCTTACTGATCAATATAAATTGACATCTCCTATCAAAACTTGTTGTGTTTGTAATTACGTTTATGTCCTTATATAAGGCAAAGTTAAAAAGAAAAAAAACACCTTTAATGTTTTGATTTTGGATAAATAATACTCATATCCATTATTTTGGGTATATAGGTATATAACTCCATTAAGTTTTAAAAATTGAGTAAAAAATGACTTATGTTGTGTATATAAGTTCATTAATTTTGAAAAATGAGCAAAAAAAGAACTTGAAGTCACTATTAAGATATAAAATTTCAAAAACACCCTTATCGCTTTCGATAATACCCTTATAAGAGTAAAGTGAGAAAAACACCCTGATGTTTATATTTTGGGCAAATAACAACATTATCTTTTATTTTGAACATATAAGTCCATAAGTTTGAAAAAATGTGGCAAAATAAGAGTTTGAGGTCATTGTTTCATAAAAAATTTAGTCATATGCATTGCATATAACATTTTTAAGATATAAAATTTCAAAAATAATCTGATCTCTTCCGATAATGCTCTTATATATATATATAATTATATATACACTTATCACATTTAATTAAACTTTTTACCTATTTTTTAATTAAAATATAGAGGAATATTTTAGTCTTTTCAACATTTAGATCCTTGTATGCACCAAAAGAGGGTTTTAGAACGTTTAGATCCTTGTATGCACCAAAAGAGGGTTTTAGAACGTATATGGGGTCATATACTCTATAAGCATACCATAAGGATGTTTTTTGCCCACAACCCTACCCTATATTATATACATAAAAAAGAGGGACAACTTAATTATTTAACATTTAATTAATTTTCTGTTCAATTATAAAAAGACACTTTAGTCTTTTCATCATTCAGATTCTTATTTGCTCCAAAATTAAATGTTAGAAACCATTTAGAATGTATAGAGGGATATACACTCTATATGCATACCGGTGTTTTTCGCTATTGCTTGTGTTGACGGTATACGAATGAAACTATGTTATTTACATGTTTTAAGAGAACGCAAGTATAATTTGTCAAACAAAGGGAGAGGTCTGCATACATTGACAAAACCTCATAGAACTTCAGTGTAATTTATCCTAATCATTTTTAGCATAACCAACCAAAAAAAAATTATTCATGGTCTCTGTTCCTTATATGAATTGAATCCATTATAATTTATTTATCTAATTTACTCATGAGATGACAGTTGCTTACATTTTTCCATAGCCAAATATTTGTTTTCCTTTCCGACTAAATTCATGGACTTTGATCTGCTTGTGTAAAAACCGAATTCAAACTTGCATTGGGCACCAAAATAAGAGAGAGAATACTTATTAATAATAGGGAGTTCATGTTGGCACAAAAGAGAAATTTTTTTGAGACTTTCCCTTCATCATCATCATCATCATCATCATCATCATCCTATGGCAGCCTAAGATCATTCCTATCATATATGCCAACCCAGACAAGGATGATAGGATCCTTAATAAATCAAACATAAGCCCTAATTTCAACTACACAGAAGTCACCTAATTGTACAATAATAAAACCATAGGCAAATATAAACATTTTCAATCATAAAAGTAACTTCGGCTCCTCTTTTTTAAATTCTATAGAATTTACAGTAGTTTAGGTTGTTTTTAAGGGCACTTGTTTAAGTTGCCAAATTATCAATCCAATACAACTTCTAAAAAGGATGAGAAATAGATCAGAATCATTTGATACAACAGCCGCAGTGGAATAGAAAGTTACAACAGTACATAATAACATATCAAACAGCGCAAAAGAAAAAAACAAAATTAAAGAAAAAAAAAAAAATGATAACAAGAACTACAAGCCCACTAAACGCTGATAATGATACCAATATAAACAACACACAGGTACAGATTTCATTTTCTTCAACCAAGAATGGGAAGCAGCAATGCCAAAAAGAGTACCTGAATAAATACCAGGAGATCTGAGGCTTATCTGCTTCATTTCAGTGGCAGGGTCCCCTTGTGATAAGGGCTTCATGAGGGTACGTTGAAGTGAAAGAGCCAAGAGATGACAAAGGCGAATACCATACAAGCAAGCAGGAAATTAAGAAACCGATGGCCCTGCCAGAAGTTTCGAGTCTCTGCTGGGGGCACTGGTGCAGCTGCAGGTGCAGCTCCAGTATCATTGGCCTCATTCCACTGGTCCATCAACTCAGTTTCATTTGCACCAGCAACATTGCGTGCAGTGGATCCACATATCTCACAGGTCCTGCAATTTACAAGATAGCAGGGAAGATAATCATAAATAGAGGCCAACAGAATGCAGAAAAATCTTTTGTGAAGGCGAATGTGAAGTACTTATCTAAAAACTCCGGCAGGTAAATATCTGACATTGACTGTTTCTCAACTATTGCCTGATTTGAAAAGTAATTGCCAATAGAAATGGAAACGAAAATGGAGATTCATGGCAAATTTAAATCCTCCCATATTTTGTGTATTCAAAACTATGATTGGCAAGGTTTACTAAAATTGATAATCTTGTCTACTGGGTGCCAGCTACATGGGTCCTTCTCCAATTTGCTTTATGTAAAAAAGATGATGGACAAAAAAAATTCTACACAAAAACACATGCACAAGGATATGAATCACACACAAACACTTGCACTTTGATGTGACAGGTATGATGGTATATATGAAAACATATTGCTTCTTGACTACAAACGAAATTGATAACTTACCGTCCTGGAATAAATTTTAGCATATCCAGCTCTAAATTTCCAAAATGAGCATTTTAAGAAATGAGAATTTTAGAACAATTATACCCGTAACATATACTGTTTTGATAACCAAAACCGACTATAACATCATACACAATATACAAGTGAGATACGGTGTGAGTAGGATGATAGAACTCATAGTAGAATGCCATAGGAATATGATAGCTCCAAATGTGAGGGTGATTTTCTTTTCACTATGGCCTTCGCATTCTATTCATCCCCAAATCCATTATTTTAAAATTGCATCAATTTTATAATGTGTCGTCTTATTAAAAAGTCAATTAAGTGAAGAAATAAGAACAAAAAATTGTTATTACCGAATTCTGTATTCCAGAAGTGAATCATGTTTTGTATTGTGCATTTCAAAATGCAAATCATTGCGTTATCAGCATTTTGTGGTGACCTTGATCTAGGCTATTGTGTCTGACAAGAAAGCATTAACTAATAAGGGTTTACCAGAGGGTATGACACCTAAATTTGACGTGAATACGATGACAGAATGATATTCAGAAGAACAACATCATAAAGATGGCGGAAAAGAAATGGTGCAAGCAGATAATCTAGCTCTGGTAAATTCAAAAACTAGAAGACCAGCAGCAACAAGTGTCAAAAATTTCACATCCTACTTTGAAACGCCATCCAGTACGAATCCTAATTGGTCGAAAAAGGCGAAGGACTAGCAGAACAACGACATGAAGGAAGAGACAAACTATCTTTCCCCACAAGACATCTATACGATGAAAGAAAAAATGTTTATAAAGCTTAGATGAACGAGTGATATAGTAAATACCAACTAATAATCCTGATGCAAAACCATCTCCAATCAACGTAGTAAAACCTTATTTTGTTTTAAGATAAGTTAGCTCGGCCTTAAATTTGGCCAAACAGCTAGTAAGAGGATCAAATCGGGTACCCAAGTTTGCTCCATTGGTTTGCTGAGTATTACCTTCAGATGGTGGTGGGTTCACGGGAATGGTTGGATTTGGTCTGATTTGTTCAGTGGCGGGTGCTGATTTAGAAGTAAACCAACCCCAACAGCTAGTCGGTCGACCAGATCCAGTACTTGGGGTTCTTCCACTGTTTTTCTGAGATGGTGGACGGCTCAATGGTCTGCCGGTTAGTGTGGATCTGGAAGCAAGCCAACCCCTACAGCTACCTCGTGTTCCTCCACTGCTTTGATGATTATTAGCATCAGATGGTGGATGGCTCCCTGGTATGGTTGCAGCACGTCTGTCTTGTTTCCTGGTAACTAGAGATCTGGAGGGAACTCAACCCCAACACCTAGTCGAAGGATCCGATACGCCAACTCCAGTGGTTTGAGGAATAACTTCAGATGGTGTACGGCGCACTAGTACAAATGGAGCTCTAATTTCTTCTGTTTTGGAAGCAAACAGACCCCAACAGCTAGTCAAAGAATGAACGCTAAAATTGATTTGCTGAGCGGAGCTGGACTCAAACGTGTCCCGAAAGGTACCCGGAAACTCATGTGTGGCACGAGAGTTTCGTACAAGCAAGGATGGATCAACTGTCTGTCCATTGTTTGCAGTTGATCCTCCATTAGGGGAAGCATGTTGTGATAGTGGAGACTGCTTAGGGGTGGGAGCCTTAGGCGATTTAGGCGGTCCCCTAAGGCCCCTAGCCAATGGAATGCATTTATTAGACCTCCAAAAATAACTTTTATTCCCTAGTAATCTAGTATTTAGGCCACAATTAATGGCATGCATTAATGTGAGTCTCTTTTCATTGGATAAGTAGTATTGGAAAGTAACTAAACTCACTTTCCGTCTACTCCTAAATTTTCTCCACTTTTCTTCTTTTCTACTCCCTCTGTCCCATATTAGATGTCCACTTCGAAAATTTTGACTCACTACCACCTTTTGACATTGAGTCATTTGAGGTCATTTTTAGTCATATTCCTTTTATATACTACTTCCGTCCTCAAAGTTCCTGAAGTGGACATCTAATATGAGACGAAGGTAGTATTAAACTTATAATTTTTATTTATTTATTTATTTTATCCTTATTCCTCACGATCTTCATTACAGATGTAATTATTTTTTTATTTATTATATCTTATATTCCTAGGTCTAACCAATACCATGTATTAATTGAGGCCCCTACAATTTAATTCCTATTTAAAGGATAATTGGTATAGGGATGTAATAAAACCTTTCAATTTAGTGCTAGTTTTTTTTTCTATCTAATTTCTTACCCCTTTTATTAAACTCTTAATTTATGTTTATTTATTATTATTATTTTTATCCTTATGTCTTCTCATTAGAGAAGTATTTTTCCTCCTCTTAGACACGCCTTCTTCTCCCTCCTCATCCCTCTCATTATCTCACTCCATCTTCTGTATATTTTTATTTTGTTATCTCACATATTTTGTTACTTATGGACTATATATATTTTTTTTCTTTACCAAGAAGAAAGTAGGGATTTTACCATAATTTGACTCTATAATAGAGATAAAGTATTGAAGAATTTGTAGTGCATTAGATAAAAATTCAACAAATGAACAAGCAAGTCATCTCAAAAAGCAAGAAGAATTTTTAAATAAATTATTTAAAGGGGGTGTAAGATGGGTTATAATGAGTTAACCTAACCAAGCATGATATTTGGTGTCTCATGTGCATGTATTAATAAGAATACCAACTGGGGGGCAGAACAAACATGACAAAGTTTAGAAGACTAAAATAAAATGTGAGGTTCATTATAATCAAGCAACCTTTTTCATTCAAAGGAAGATGTACATGACGACGAATAGTCTTTATTAAATTTATTTCGAGTTAGTATGCTGCTACACAAATGTGCTCGTATTTTCATTAAGTTTCATAAATGAGATACAATAGTCATTTCAAGGTCTTATTTTTAGTTTATTGGGTCTTTGTAAGTGGTATTTAGTAGGTCTAGAATACAGCTTAATAGATGAAGTTTCATAGTTTTCCATTTAAAAATAATAATCAGAGTACATTTAGGAGAAGCATAGCACCTTATACCTCTATATATAATCATCTGACTTGGTAAAGTTGAGTTTTTGAGAAATGAAGGGGTGAACCAACATTCCAATATTTCTTTCCTTTTTTTTTTTTTTTTGTCTCTCAAATTACCGTACACTGGTTATCTCCCCTGATCCATAACTGCCCAATTTTATCCTGAAATCCTACCATACCAAACCCTAATCAACACAAACCTTTCCTTGCCTTTGACCGTTTTTTTTTTTTTTGAACACCAAAAACCCTCAAAGTACCTGCTGTCCAATATTATTCCAAACAACCGAACTCAAAAAATTTGTGCAACCATAACATTCTAAAATTGAGGCCAAATACTAATCTCTTTGGAGTCACAATCACTATAATCTTTCTTCTACCTCTAAAAACTCAACCTACCAGTTTTCCTTAACCAAAAAAACAATAAAACCAATTGTAAGCTACCTATAATAAGATTCCTACTGCTATCATACATCATGCCTACCATTTGAGAGACTCGTAAGAATCTGAAGAAAGAAGAACGAATGGTCACTTTCATTTTCAGATAAAACAAAATTGCACTTGTCACAATGACAAGGTATTAGCAGAGCATATCAATTCCCCAAAGACGATAAGAATAAGTAATAATTGGAAATGCTATATATGTGCGTGTTGTCCAATGTTATACCGGCTACAAAAAAAAAAAAAAAAAAGCATTCTTCAAGTGGAATGCCTAACAATAGAATCAGTCAATTTAAATAAAAAAATTTATACAGACTTTATTGCAATTGGTGGCCAAACCAACGAACATATCTGTCTCAAAGATCGATTTTTTGAGACCATATTCTGAGACAACATATAGATATAGAATTTGACCACTCAATTACACTTATAGACTAAGTCAATATTCCTTATGAGAAATATTGGCAAGTGCCAAATATTTTAGCCTAAAAATGGACTACATCAATCAAAGTCCAAACCCACATTGCAAATAAAAAAAGGGAAACTGGTAACAAGAGTGAAGCAATCAAATTCCAACAGTACAAGGAACAAGAAAAATCATCTGCATAGTTGGCTAAACAAACATGACTACCTGGTGCTTTCATCTTTTGCTTTATTTTCTTGATACCCTTCATTTAATATTATCTGCTTTTACTGTATTTATATACTTTTGCTTTCCGCTAAAGTTAATGTTTTTTTTCTTTATGTGTCTTACATTGCATACAGCCCTTTTTCCCAGTATTCACCCAATAATTGACTAAACCTTCAATCCCAATTAAACAAGAAGTATTGTGCACTAAAATACAGAAAAAAAAAAAATAAATAAATAAATATTATTGACAAATATGATCATTACCTTAAATTTGAGCATGAAACCCCATATAGATCACAACCAATACTTCCAAAACATATACAACAAAAAATATAAATATTTCACTCTAATCACATCCTAAAAACACCTCGACTTACAGAATGCTAAGATCAAACACACAACATATGGGTTACTTATATATATACACAAACACATATACATATATAAACACATACACACACAGAACATATGGGTATCTTCAGAACAGTTAATAGAACAAAATTTTAATATATTTTGGGTACTTACTTGTTGCCCTTGATCTTGAACCAAGCCTCAGCACAGTGTCTATGGGAAGCAGCCAAATCATCCTTACATGAACAACCCAATTCAATAGGAATCCCAGATTCTGGATTCGATGCATCCAAGCTCAGATGACATATCCTGCAATCTCTCTCGATTTTGGCCAAATGTACCTTAATCTCCGGCACACCAGCTTCCAGATCCACCTCCACCGAACACTCGGACACGGAGGATTCCCTCCTCTTATCAGAAACCCCAACAATCTCAGTACCAGAGACGCTTGTGGAACCGAGCGTGGAGTGCCAGGACCGGTCGTCGTCGGCGTCGGAGGAGGTGGAGCTGCGCTGACTTCCTTCGCCGGGGCTCAGGGCGGTGGAATGGCGGCGACCACCACCACCACCGTCGTCGTCTTGGAATTCAACATGGGTTTGGGATTGGTATTGGGATTGGGGTTGGTTTGTGGTGGACATATTGGAGACCCAGAGAGAGAAACTTCATGTAGGAAAGATGAGACGCAGTGACCATGAATGGGCACCAAAAGTTGAAGCTCTCCTCTGAGGGCGCTCCAATCTGAAATTAGTATGGTGTAATCTGTGTCTCTGTCTGAAAGACTGTAACTAGGTATAGTGTGTGTGTGTGACTGTGTGTTGGAGTAGGTACTCTCCCTCTCTCCTGTCTTGTCAGTCCATCGACGGTGATTTGGGAGAGAGAGAAAGTCTCGAATAAAAGATCTGAGAGAAAATACACTTGGATTTACTTTTACATGTGAAGACCGAAGTGGGTGAGAGAAAAATCCAAACACTCTGCAAAAGTAGATTTTATTAATATGGTCGCCCCTTCCAAAACACAATTATTTATATTTTATTACTCCGTATCAATTATTTTTTAAAAAAATATTTGCCCGATGTTCTAAGGGGAGATAATTGATGCACTCTATCGTTTACGCACTTTATTATTATTTTGTTTTATGTAAAAGGATATTATTATTATTAATCAATTCATGAGTCAACTATAAGAAACATTTACATCATTAATTAAAAAAAATTCAACAAAAGAGTGCATATGTACATATAAACTTCATGCACTTAGTTTGTTGTTATTTTTATTTCATAACTATTAAAAGTATAATTGCACTTCGTTCTTCAGAAATCATTTTGTTAGTATTTTAATTATATATATTAAAAAAAATCAAAGTGCTAGTGGAGATAAAAAAAAAAAAAAAAAATTGGAGTATGAATATAATTTTTCAAAAATTGATACAATCAGAATGGTATTAGCATATCAAAGGAAGTCTTTATCACTCTACTTTATTTAATATTTAGATTTTTTTTTCTTTTCAAATTGATATTTAGATTCAATAAGTGCGGTGCTAGAGTGGTTTTTTTTTTTTTTTTTTTTTTTTTTTTTTATTTTTTTTTATCACATTCTGTAATATATATATATATATATATATATATATATATAAAACTTGATATTCTCATTACAATATCCTCTGTTAATAAAATAACATGATTATCCTTTAAAAATACACTAACACTTCGATCAAAATTGTTTTAGTTTCAACAAATGTACTTTATTTTTTAATTTTTAAAATATATGATGAAGTATTTTCAAACTCATTAATAGTTGATTATCTTATTTATGACATTAAAAACAATAGTGTAAATAGTTTAAATTAAAGCATCGACAAGGCGTTGTCTTCGCAGTTGCGTGGAAATTAAAAGGGTTTACGTGGAAGGATTTGATTGAGATAACTATTAAATACTTTTCCTTTTTCAACAGATAACACGAATATAATGTACAGAAATATGTGTTATAAGCTTGCTTTTTACTTTGTCTTTTTCGCTTTTGCTTTTTTATAGTAATAGACTGTTTAGTTAACTTTAACCTAGATTTTTGTTTATGTCTCATGATTACCCTTGTCTGATGGAATTAGAACATCGTTAAAGGGAGGGTATTTTTGTCACTACAACGACATATTTTACTCCCAACCTTACAAGGGTATCATTTTAAGTCTAATCAAAGTAGAAAAAATGGAGACCGAACAGAGAGTGACAGTTGACAGAGAAACTACTACACAGTATTAAACAGTTGTTTGCGTGAAAAAAGATAGGAAATGGTGGGGACTACTGTAGTACTGTGGTGGTTCATTTCACATCATCGGATATATGATGGAAAGATCGACTAAAGCAATCATAGAATAATTGCTCTTACCCTCGAAATATCTACTTGCCTCAATTAACAAGGTCGTGCCCTTAGTTTCACTTTAACCATTTTGGGTTAGATGTCCTGTGAATAAAATAACGGGGTTAAATGGATAAAAAAAAAAAAAAAAAAAATTGAAAATTTTCGTTTTCACAAAAACTGGAAAAAATAATTAAAACGAGCCATTGGAAATTTAAAATACAAAATTAATTAATTTTTTTTTTTTTAAATTGTGAACCATTAAAGTGATGTTATGCAATTTGTTAACACCCCCATAATCAAATAATTTACTATCATGATTAGACTAAATTATACAGACTTGTTCAACATTTATTATTTTAATCTTTCTTAAATAGGCGGTTGAAAAGTAATTTTGAATATGAAAAGTTATTAATATCCTTATATTACATTTTATAAAATTATCATTTTATAAAATTGAGTCACTCGTCACTAAGAAAGAAAATGATAAAGAGTGTTGATTACACGCATTAAATTTTAAAAAAAATTCTAAATATATATAAATGATACCAACTTTTTTACATTTGGGTTGTGAAGTCCTTTTCGTCCATAGTATAAGTAACTTAATTCGTCCAAAATAAATGTCACAATACTAGAATCTAGATTGCACCGAAGTCCAAGCCTACTGCGGTAATGTTTGTGCGTGGCATCGTGTGTAGATTCTAGACAACCCATTAAAGTCTCCAATTGAAGACGACATTTATTCCATAGACTTTTTATGTGCCATCCCTTTCTTATTTCCTCGCTATCCATTATAAAATCAATGTCACTCCTGTCAACACAAACTATAACATTAGGGTTTCGTTCACCGAGTCTGAATTTTCTGCACCATTACCTCAAAAAGACGCTACAACAGAGAATCCGAACGCCGCCGCTATTGTATCTCATAAAATGACATTACAGAATAACCAACTCGTCCTGTGCAAAAATTTATAAATGGATCAAAACAACCCAGTTTGGCCAACATTGGAAGATCATAACAGAGAGCTTACAATCAGTTCAATTTATAGCAAAATCATGATTTGGGGCTTCGTGTATAATGTAGAATTGAACCGATCTTAATATTTTCGAAATACTAAATAGTTGAAATATCAATGGTCACCAGCCGCATCCAACTTTTTAGGTTCTATACTGACAAAAACACTCTGTGTAATAACTGATGTAGAATCTCTGGACCAAGTCTGGATACATATTTAGTAACATGGTTTGTATCTTTTTGAAACAAAATGCTATGATCGCCTCGCCAGTAATGAGGGAGCCTCACAACAAAATGCAATTCTCAGCCTTCCGTCAGCAAGCAGACAGCTACTGCGACGTGTTTATATCTATATATATAGGATTTTACACTGTGCTTCGCACCATACCATGCAAAAGATAGAAAACCAGCCATGGGTTTCAGCTTAAGCCTTCGACCTCAGCTGGGAATGCAAGAGTTCGCATTGACATCTGGGTTGGCATCACATCTGACATCATGCCCATCAACCTGTTCCGCCCCTCCTCAAAGCGAAAATGATTGTTCATCATACTCTGCTCGACAACATCCATTTTCTCTGCAATGCCTTGAGACGGTCTTTCACCAGATGCATTGTCCACTTCTCTGGTGCTAGCATTCTCAAGGCCACTTCTGATCCAGGCAATATTGTTCAAATCAGTGGCTATGGAGGCCAACTCATGACTTGAGAATGGGGGAGGTTCCTCGTATTCAACAAACTCAGGGCCCAACAATGAGCTTTGAGAAGGGACCCCACTTCGAGCTGCACAGCAACCATGGCCACATCTTGAAGGAATCAAAGGCTCACCACAATCACCTTCAACAAATATCCCAAAGTCTGGTCCGGAGGATTGGATTAACGGTCCCTGCATTGGGATTGTCCTTGAAAATTCAGAGCCAATTGTTGGGGAACCAGGAGGATTATAAACATTGAATGCACCAACACGTGCTACTGGACGAGGAAGAGTATGAAGGTTTTTGCCAGCAACAAAATGATTCTCAATTGTTTGAGCTTTTTCCTCACACAAGTTGGGTCCATTTTCTATCATTCTCACATCTTTTTCCTCTGAGGATTTGAATGAATTGATATCACCACATGAAAGGGTTTCTTCTGAGGATGCCTTTGTTCTGTCTAGGCTGCCTTCCAACATTTTCTCAGATGCCGGTCTAAACCTGCTGAAATCCACGCACCTGCGCCTTAACGTAGAATTCCAATGGTTCTTAATTGCGTTGTCCGTTCTACCTGGCAGAAGCTTTGCAATTGATGCCCATTTGTTCCCATGAGTTGCATGGGCTGCTATTATAATACGATCCTCTTCTTCTGCAATCAATTAAGCCTCTATAAGACTTTATCATGAAGAACAATTTATCCATGATTAATCATGAAATGACACATATGGTTAATTGGACATCCATTCACCAAGTAATTAAGAGTAAAAATTTCCAAGTAGGAGCAGATGAGATAATATGCAGGTACAAAGTTTTATCCTCTTACTATTATTTAGGTACCAAGCTTTTAGCCTTTCTATTATTCAACTTTTACATTAATACAATCTTATCAAGAATGATAGCAAACAATGAAAGAAGAAAATATGCAAGTAATTTTATTCTTTCCATTGTTCAACGTTATCTACAATACAATCATATCAACAAGGATAGCCAATTTTTTTATTTAAAAAAAAAAAAAAAAAAAAAAAAATTGGAAGAAGAAAAAATACATATAACCAAGCATAACTTTTTATCTCTTTGATTGTTGAACTTTGTATGGCAACATAAATGACAGGGTAGAAGGCAAAAATGAATTTCTAAAAGAAAGAAAACACAATGCAGAACCTAGACTATCAAAAAGCAATCCAAGTCACTAGGAAAAACAGATCTTCTAAAACGCCTCCACCTAACAGCCCTCCCCCACCCACCAAAAAAATTAAAATTAAAATTAAAAAATAAAGTCATGTACACACAAATATCACATTAAGATTCAGTAACTGAAGAACATAAACACACATCATACAAAATGAAAACATGTAGACTCTTTGAAAGAGTCCGCAACTGGAACTATCAACAAAGCTAATTAGCTAGCTTATCTGGCAAGTGCCGGGGTTTCAAGCGTATTGGAAGGAATACTTTTACACCCCACCACTCCAATGCGTCTCTTCTCGTTCAGTTAACAAAAGTTAATATTGAAATATTCTCTTCTTGATCAATCATACTTTAAATCTCATAGCAACATCATGTTTAATCTCTCTCATCTCTATAGATAACCAAGATTAGGTAATAGAACTACTTACTTTTTGGTCTCTCATAACTCTCTATCTTTAGTATATAACTATATCCCCACTTATACTTCTAGCTTTGCTTAAGTTACATATTTCATATTCATTCCTAGTCATACTTATCTCAACACTTCAGATTCTTGAACTTTTCTCCAAACCTTCAGTTAGATTTGTTCTTGTTTCTTCACTAATAGAAGACCACTTTTGATTCTTGAGCTTTTCTCCAAACCTTTAATTAGATTTGTTCTTGTTTAACTTCTATTAATAAAAAAATATCATCACCAAAAAGCATATACTATAAAAATTTCATCCAAAATAAGTATGATCAATTCATTCATAACAAAAACAAAAGGAACCTTGATATAAGCCTATAGTAATGGAAATTCACTTTATATCCTGGAGTTGTTCTTATCATAGTCACAGCTCCATCACACATGCCCTATATCATGTCAGTATATCTATTTGCAACTCATTTCTTTTTTAATACCAACCATATTATAAATCTAAAGAACCCTATTATAGGCCTTCTCAAAATTCATATGGAAATGACCTCTATTGTTCTTATTTCCGCCATAAATATAAATCAAATTACAACATAATTATTTCAAGCCTAGACATGTAAGAGGAAGTAGAGTGGCCAAAGGTCTTGCAGACATCACAAATTTGAGGTTTCTAAGGCACCAGAACTTTAATTCAAAGGGTTCTCCAAAGTAAAGTTTGAAAGAATTCAAGATCTCCCTATTAGCCTCCATTTCAATACAAATGTGAGCATGAGCAAGTCTAACGTAGTTAAGTAGGCTCATAAAGGTACAATGGATTTCCAAAATCACTAGCCACATAACTAAGGCCATTGTCTATCCAATGCTTATGTGACACTGAAGAACTTCACCCAAACCGGAACACTTGAAAATCGTTCTTTGAAAAATACATCTTAAGAAACCATGTTATGAAAAGAAATAATTTCCCTCCAAAGTATTAAGGGTGTCACCATCAATAAATTTGCTTCTCTCTTCCTCGTTTATAATTTTAGAAATGAAGAAATTATTTTGTTCGAGTCACAATCTCATAAAGATAAACCTTCCGAATTTTCATTAACCCCATACTTGACAAGGTGGAAAGGAAGCCTTTCCTTCTCAAGGAAATGGCCCATTCGAGCATACATATTCCCAAGAAGAAAATCTCATTTTTGAGATTTCAAAAGGAACACTCTACACTCCATTCTTCCCAAGTGCAATGTTACGATATTTGAGTGTAGGTTTAGATTGAGCTTTATTTCCTAACAACATAATACTTCAAGAGATTGGGGCTTTGATAGTGGGCAGTGCAATGTGACTATTGGGATACTTAAAATCTATGTTACATGAACTCAACCTATTCTCCCTCACATACATGTGTCGACAAGACACAACATGAGCATTGGTATGGGTATGCGACATGGGCCCGACACACGTACACAAATAGGAAACATGATGGAAGAGGAAGAAAAGCTTAAATTTGATAACAAAGAAGGCTTTCCTACTTTTGAGATAGATGAAATCTCTTGTTCTTTCATTATATCCATTTACTTTCAATCATTATTGAGTATATTTTTTAAAAAATGATAGGTCATATGTTAAACTTTTTATGCAGTGTATTTCATTTATTTAGTGTTCAAGACGTGTCTACTTAACCGTATCCAAGTTTAAGACACATTTCAAGCTGGGCCGATGCATCCTAAGATTTTGGATTTAGGAAAGTGTAACCCTTAGATTTTGTCTACGTACCTGCACTGCACTTGATATATGTACCTAAGTCCATGTAACTTAACTTTAAATTCCAATTAAGTTCATATTTTGTTATTGATTGGTACTTTCTCACCTTCCAAAGTAGAAGGTCAAGGATTCAAGTCTTCGTAGGGACAAAGTGGGTGTGTGAGAGTTTCTTGCTAAGGTAAAAAAAATAGAAGTATCAAAAATTGGAAAAATGTAAGAAATCAACTAAGATGATTTGACCACATGCAAAAAAGAACAATAATTGCACCAGTTAAAAAGAACAACACGGTTCGCATTAAGGACAATGATAGAAAGGGAAGATTTAAAAAATTAACATGAGCTGAGATAGTAAAGAACAATATGGTAGTGTTAATTAAATTATGGATTTAATTACAGCATCATGGCGAAATAGAAATCATATAACCGATTCCAAATAGGGTTGTGTTAAGTTGAGTTTGAATTACAACAAAGTGTAGCTAACCCATTTTTAGTTGTGACTCATTCCCTATAAATGCATATTATTATCTAAACCATGTGCTTCACATAATGTCTCTGAAGATTCTAACATGAAATTCCTATGGTATTGTATTCAGATTTTATCTCAAATATGGTCAACACAACAACAGATTTGATCTGTTTACACAGTAGGAAAACTAAACATTTTCTTGTTTATAAAGATACCTTAAGTTCCAAGAGAAGTCCTTAACTGGCTCAGACAATACAAATTACAAAAGGTTCTAAATGATCAGCAGCCATATGTTTACTTCTCAACTCACAATTATCCTATTACAGACCCCAAATCCACAATAGACTATCAAATACTTCTACGCTCATTTGGCTCTTTAATAAGGACCAAGAAATTAGGTGAGCATCACAACGAACTTGTAGTTTTCAATGAATTAAACCTTTTACTAACTTCCTAAACCATTCCGCTTAGAATATTACCTGTTGATACTTGCTGTGGTGAATAACAGAATACCAAAGGTCTTGTTGCATTCAAACTAATAACAATTTATTTATTTATAATTTTGCATATTCTCCTCCCCCCGAGTTCTCTCCCGCTGGTTTCCAAGTGCTTTCTTTCAATGGCTTCCAAGGGTTCATAAAGGTTTTTTTTTTTCTTAGTTAGTACTCACACACCCATGCCTCCACTGAGGGTCGAACCCCTGACCTCCCTTTGGGAAGTAGGGGCCTGGTACCACTAGGCCACTGGCCCGTTGGTGGTTCATAAAGGTTTGACAAGCTAAAGACATAATAGAACAAATAAGATTGAGCAACCTCAACACAGTTAGCTAGGCGCATGTAGGATAGATAGAATCATGCATATAAACCAGAAAATTCTAAATTCACTTTTGGTGGCCCCTTAATGCAAAATTCATGAATTCATTAACTGTTACTTATGTACAGTCATGGCTTGGCAAGTAATGAAATATTCAGGTATTGCAACACCAAAATTTGGCCTTCAAAGTCATATTATATCATCATATTTATTTGTCGTTCCAGAACTTCATGGTGTCTAAAATTAGACGGGATAAAATATAATTACAGTGGGAAAAAAGAACCTATATACTACCATTAGATATTCCGTGTGTCAGTAAGGTTTTTGAATGGGAAAGCCTATAATCTCAAGCGGAGTATAAACCAATAGAAACAATGGAATATGCCCAGAGACTTCACAACAATTGTAGTTTTCCTGTCTAATAATTCAAAAAATAAATAAAGTGACAGCAACATGTCTATTCAACTGAGGGCTACAGCTAAACTATATGCCAAAGAGAAAATGTAACCGTTGGATTATCCACCGTTCTGGTGATAATTTGCTGTATATTATTATTCCTGAATCAATATCTAGCATATACCTTTTTTTGTTTTTAATCGGGTACGTACTCACACACACTTTGCAGACGCCAGGGCCCAAACCCCTCCCCATCCACTTTGAGGGTAGGGAGGTTATACCATTGGGCTAAAGGCCCATTGGTAATAACCATCATATAACTTACGGTTGACTAGTATTGTGTAGCAGAATTCCAACAACCCAGGTATGCTTGAGTGCAACTGCAAGAAGACTGAATGTGCAATTTACCTTAACCATTTCAAGGCACCAAAACAACAAATAATACTACTAGAAGATGAAACTCGAGTAACCATAAGGGTGGTCAAGAATAAAACACGGTGCATCTGCTCTGATTTGTTCCTTAAACAATATTATAAATTATTAAGATAGGTGGTCAGTGATTGAGCAAGTTTCATCAACTATCCAGTTTACATCAGTGCAAGGTATATATCATAACAAGAGCTTTACAATCAATTAGAATGACCTCATGAATACCAACAATCACAACAAGGAAAGAATTTATAACACTACAGTTAGTAATCATTAACATTACATCTTTCAACATAATGAACCTTTTTTCAAATTTGACACCAATAACAAGCATAAATGTAGAAATTAAAAACCCCAACTTCCTAAAACAACAATATACTCGAGTACTTAGAACTTGAATCCATAATCACATAATAGGAAGTACTCCTATATGACAAACTCCTAAATACTCAACTGAGTAACAACCCAATAAGTGATAAATAAGCAACACTAAACACTTCTATCTCTGTTCTCAAGGTTTTGGTCCACATGCTCTCACACATTTTCTCCTTAACTAATCAAACCAATTGCAAGCAGCCAACCTCTCACTGGTATGACATAAATAGGCAAGAAAAACACAGAGACACCATCATATCTCTGTTAAAAATACTCATATATGTAACAACTCCACACACACACATCAACAGAAAAATAAAAAGAAAAAAAATAAAGACAATATATCAGCAGCATTTCATGAAATAGATTCACGTTTTCATAAGACCCAAAACTAGTAAAATAGATCATCACAATTGGCATCTAAATGTGCTAATTATACCAGCATCATCCTCTCTAGTGTCCTTTGCAAGCGGCAATTTGGATGTCCCATTAATTCTAATCACTCTATCAATATTTCAAGTGGAAATTTATCTTGAATGGACCCATTAGATCAATTTATCAGCATTTTAAACAGTGCTTTGAGAGAGAAATCCATAGGACGGAACGGAGCCATTGCAGACAATAGAAGCCATCTCAGAAGCAGCAAATGATATTTGTTCTTAAAAATTATATAAAAACAAAAAACAAAACAAAATCCTACAAAACTCAATAAGGATAAGTAACTTTGTCATAAATTTCTACTTAAAGTGCTATAGAAAGTGCCTCAGGAGAATTCAAATTCAACTGAACAAAAAACACATCCATATAGAATTACACTGGAACCAAACACCCAAAACGATCCACACTCATACAAGTGTCCTTGCACACACAAACACAGAGACAGAGTTAAAGAGACTGGTTGGGGGAGGGGATGGGGGGGAAAGGGAGGGGGGTTAAGACTTAAGAGCGACAAGGAAAATGGAAGGACAAACAGTTAAGGCAACCTAAAACTCGAGTGATTCTTCTACTAAAGCGCAAAGACGAACGAAAACATTAACAAAAAAAAAAAAATCTGAATAATCCGGCTAATCCCAGTACTAACACACACAGATAAACAAGAATTTTCAACCAAAACAATAAAAACTGCAAAAACCTTTCAAAAACCAAAACCCACAAAGCCCTCAGATTCAAATTCAAAAAGCACAACTGAAAAAGTAGCAGAGACCAATCAATAGAGCGCATATACGGAATCTATACATAAAAGAGAGACACTGAGATTGAATTGTTAATGGGGTTTTTTACCAGTAAAGGGCTTTCGCTTCACGCAGGGGTCGAGCTGATTACACCACCTAAGGCGGCAGGACTTGCCGGACCGCCCAGGAATTCCTCGGGCGATCAGGCTCCAATTCCTCGCCCCGAACTTGCTCACGAGTTGACTCAGTATCACGTCTTCTTCAGGCGACCAAGGTCCCTTGACTCGGCTACTAGTACTGCCGCCATCACCGGTTCCTCCTCCTCCATCGCCAGCGTCTTCGAGCACCACATCGACGCCGTCAGCGACGACGGAACCGCCGTTAACGGCGGCGGTGTCAGGGATTGTTAAATCTCTTTGCTCCTCCTCTACCTCCATCTTGGTCTCTCTCTCTCTCTTTAGTCTTTCCGTTTTCTCACTTTCTCTCTCTCTACATTTGCAACCGAACCTACCTGCCTAACTGCAACTCGTCTTGAGGGACAGTGGAATTGATTTATTGGGCCGATGTTTCGGTACCAATTTCCGGTTTTGTAAGGCGGTTTCTTTGAAATGACGAACGTGTCCTTTTACTTGCACTTGAATTAACCCACGGTCAAAGGAATCAAAACGCCGTCGTGCGTCGGCTGTGTTTGTCCAATTAATTAGAAAAACACCATAGAATTTGCAAGGGGCTATATTGTACTTTTCTTGTTGTAAATATATGCATAGGTGGGGGTAAATTATAGCTTGAGCTGTCATGCCATTTGGAAAGCCCAATATACCGCCTTGAAGTTCAAAAGTTTGAATACAACTTTTTGATCAATTTGAGAGGTGAATAAGCCCGTGGGCCCAACTTTTGCTCTATCTAAATTTTGCTTTGGGCCAACCAGGAATATCCAAATTAGAACAACTCCAGGACCAGACAAGCCTAGCCTGTTTGAAATGGGTATTGTTAAGAATTTCTTCTATTCAAGTTATATAGTTCACGATAAATTATTACATGATCTTAGGACCACTCCAGACCATTATTTCCGGGGCAATTACATGATGACAAAGTAAATGTGTCAGCTCTGCATCGATTTTATTTTACTTTTGGTTTATGTGTTATCATGTGATTGGTTGGGACCAATAATCCCAGGATCATACAATAATTTATCAATGTTCGGTTGTTTCTTTTCTATCTTCTAAAGTATAACATATAAGACTCGAAGTCATGCTAGGGATACCAAAATAATGTGTGTTCTTTGCCATGGCAAAAAAAAAAAAGGTTACGAATGTAAGAAAGTTTGATATAATAAAAAATATTATTCGTAATAATAAAAATAAAAAATATAATTTATGTAGTCATTTATATGATATTAAGACAAGAATATTGCTAATGATAATGAAGAGTAATGAATGTAAGTCAGATAAGATGACTCAAAAACATTTGTAGAGAGTAAAGCTTAGCTAAAGTGTTCAAAACCTTTAGGAATCAAGTCTATCCATGTACCTTGTTAACTCATGTAGATGTACTAAACCCCGGTTATCAAAATATATACGGAGTACTAAATATATAGAGTACCTCATAATTCACTATTACGCACATGCAGTTTCTGTCCCATGTGTATCCGGCAATTATTGAAAAAATTCTTTGAAATGGCCCTTACTAAAATTCAAAATCCAAACTTCCACAACGTGAGATGAGAGTCCTTGCCATTAGACTGGCATCACTTGGAATTAAAGTTCGTGACTTAAGATATATAGTCATATGCCTTCTCTATTTGTCACCTACTTGACAAAACGACCTGTGACAGCTACTATCCTTTAACCAAAGTTTGTCAAAAGTAAAATTTACCAAGACCCTCTTAAATATTAGTCCATCAAAATACTCAGTTCTTTAGCAGGCCCTCCTTTGGGTATAACGAGTGGAATTGTTAGGCTGAGCCCAAGGATCAGATACGAGAGTTGATCTTGGGCTCAATATCTAGATTCTCCATGAACAGCCCAATACTCAATTTTTTTTTCTTTTTCCTTTTTGATAAGCAATAGGAATATTGGATGTATCGAACTGTTTTATGTGAGTAAATGACGTTATTATATATAATGATGTTATCTCTTACTCACATAAAAATTTAGTTTAATGTGTCCGACTTTCAAACTCTGTACCATTATTCTTTTTCATGAGGGTTTAGAATTTAGTATAATCGAACAATTTTATACACCAATAGCCCCTTAGCCATGTGGCTTTAGAGAGGTGGAGAGTTCAAGCACTAAGCAAAATAAATTTAGTCTTATGCTTTACTTATATATATACATACATACATACATACACTATTTTATGACCCTCTTTTTCACTTATATATATATACACACACACATACACACACTATTTTGTGACCCTCTTTTTCACCTTCCTTATATTTCTCTCAGAGAATTGTTTGAAGAGTAGATCGAAATTTCTATCATTTTCCGACAGGAGAAGGTAGCTTTTAAGTCGCGGATGAGACCATCTTTCTTTTTTGATGCCTTTCTTTTTCATTTCTTTGTCCAATATTGCATTATTGATATCTTATCTTCAATATTACTTTATTGTGCACAAATTACATTCTAAGATTCCTTATCAACTGTGAAAGAAAAATAAAAAGAAGAGAAAAAGACTAACAGCATCTACAGTAGGATGTTAAAATACTTTTTTTTTTTTTTTCGGTATTATATTTTGTCATGTCACCAATGTGTAAAATTATTGTGTTTTTTACAAAAATCTTTTACACAGTTACATCAGTATATTTTTTTTCTCTTCCCTCTTTCTCATTTCATTAACAAATCAATTCAATCTTATATTAAGTAAGCTTATAACAATTATGTGGGGTCTAAATAAAACGATTAGTTGTTATTGAAAGATATATTTTTAAACAAACGGTATAAAAGAACGGTCCAAATTAAAATAAAAACCCAAAATTCAACAATAGGAGATGCTCTAACCTATATATATCTAAAATGTTAGTATTAATGAGGTGGGTTGCGTATGTTGACTTACTGCATGGACCATTAATATTGAAAGAGCATGTTAGTTGGTTTCCATGAACAGTCCCTCCCAAATTGAAAATGTGGAAGGCAATGATCGAATTCAATAGAGAAAGAGTCATACATACCTCAAATTTATATGTTCAATTACAGAAAGTTTAATCATGCGGCTCAGCTTCAACCACCTCATCTTTTAAATTTCTACGTCTATATTTTAGAAACTATTTGACTTTTGAGCTCCCACATATAAAGTAATGCCAGAGGTCGACATGATCTCTCTATCTTTTTGTCACGGTCATGTATAAATATTGATACGCGTACGGTGATGTATTTTACCAGTTGAAAGGAAATTCGACGAGAATTATATTCTATATATATATATATATATATATATTTAATGTATTATGCATATAAATTATGTCAGTGTATGTGTGTGTCCAAATTTCAAAGGGGCCAAACCTCATGACAGTGAAGAAGCTGTACACAAAAGTGTCACGGAAGTGAGAATAGACAGCCATGTTAGTACAATTTGGAAGTTGCAATTAGATGCATGCAAACTTTAAAGTCAAATAATATTTCAAATGAAAATGAGAAATGAGTGATCCAACAAACACGGAAACCCCGGCACCACGCGAGGATAGCACAAAGTGGGACATATATATTTGGACTTTTTACTTGTCATTAAAATTCACATTATATATGCACCAATATATATATATATATATAAACTTTGCTTATTCTTAAGAAGCAATCTCTAAGAAAAATTAACCTAAGAAGCAATTTCTAAGAAAAAGTAACCGAAAAGACAACCTCTAATAAAAAATCACTGTGCCTCGAAGTATGTAGTATTAAGTTTCAAGATCGATTTTTTCTATATACAAATAATTTTTTAGGAGTCACGTTCTTGGACACAGTTTGAGCTTTACCCAATTTGTGAGGACGCCTTATAGGAGTCCCGTGGATTAGTTGGGGCAAAACCCCGGCCATCTGATTCTCAAAAAAAAAAATAAAATAAAATAAAATAAAAAAAAATAAAATGATGGATCAAGAGTGAGGCAAAGGTCATGAATTATACAAGATGGCGACACCAAAAGAGCTATATGCTTGTTCTTTTCCTACCAACCAAAGTGGATCGGCCATACTTCTCCCAAAATGCAAGTGAAAAAAGAACTGCACATCAAAGTTGGTGCTCCAAAAAGGTTAGATACATCCATTGTCATCTTTGGAAGAACACTACAAGGGTCAAGCAAACGAATTCATTATATATATATATATATATATATATATATATGAGGGGGACAAAATTCCGTGGCATTCAATCTCAATTTGAAGAACGTGTCTAGATGCGCATATTTGTGAAAATTTAATTTCGCTACCAATTATCAACCTTAAATTTTTTTTTTTTAATTTTTTTTTCAGAAATTCAAGCAAATTATATATATATATATATATATATATATATTGGAATATGTATATGTGTATATATTTGTTGCATGTTGTGATATTATTATTGCATTTTCAGTGGCTTGAAAAAAATATATTTTAATTACGTGGATTAGAAGGCTCAGTATTACAAGAGAATGGCATTGCAGCATCTAAGGTTATTTTCTTTTCTAATATATATATATATATTTTAGAAAAGAAAACAACCTTAGATGCTGCATATATATATTCTACCTAGGAAATTAGGTTTTTGCGCACTATAAGCAAAGTTCATAGATGTTGAAAATAGATGTCATTGGAAGAATGCCAACAAAAATCGAAAGAATAATTAGCTAGATTCAGGCTTTGTTTGTTTCAATGTTCTATTTTTGGTAATTTTTTTTTTTATTATTATTTATCTTTTAGTATTTGGCAAAGATTTAGGTCTCTATAAGACATGTCAAAAGTTAATGTGTGAACTATTTTGATAAATATTAATAAAATATTTTACTCCTACTTAATACAAACGGATCCTAATATTTTACAAGTCATAGCACCCAACACATGAGGACCCTGCACTCACATAATAACATATAATTTTTAAATTTTAAATTTTAAATTTTATTTTCTAAATGGACAGAGGTCAACCTAGCTTGTCCAATTTTATAATTATTATCCCATTTTTTTGTTGGTACTGAATTTTCATTATGGTCAAGTGAAATTATTAGACGATGGACCCATATCAGCTAACCCCTAACATTATTTGAGGTTTTAAATGGTTGGACCACAATTCCTCTATGCTAGGTGAGATACTATTCAGTGTTCTGTCCCTCCATTTAAGTTGGATATACATTTAAAACAGGAACAAGTTGGATATATATAAGTCGGTAGTTGCACACATCAAACATTAATCCAAATCCATTTTAGGTGGTCACTCGGGGAATGTGTGTCTAGATACATATACCACATATATATATATATATATATATATATATATATATATCACATGAGATTTGAACTCTCATATCATGTATTTTAGAGGTATATAATACCCAAAAAAAAAAAAAAAAATATCA